GTGTGTGTGTGTGTGTGTGTGTGTGTGTGTGTGTGTGTGTGTGTGTGTGTGTGATGAGTGAAGGCCAGACAATTTTCTTTGGAGTCCTCAAGCCTATTTTTTGAAACAGGGTCTATCATTGGCTTGGAGTTTGCTAAGTAGCCTGGGATGAGTGTCCAGCGAGTCTAGAAATTCAAATCTTCTTGTCTCCAGCCCCAGGGCTGAGATTACAATGCTGTGCCTCCATGTCTGGCTTCTTTTCCTTGGTTCTGAGGATCAAACTCAGGTCCCATGACTGCAAAGCAGGACTTATCTCCCCAGCCGCATTTTCATGAATCTTGCTCTCTTGCCTTGCTTGAGAGCTCTTTGTAAATAAATTCAGTTCCACCAGTCACCTCCTCCCATGTCTTTATGCTTTAAACAATAACTCTAAAGCTCAAGCCCAGGCATCCCTGGATGCTGTGATTTAGAATGTTCTTCCCTTTACCCATGGAATTCTTCAAAGCGAGAACCCATCTCTACCCAAAACTTTAACTCTGACTTTCAGTTCAACCCCCTAGCTTCTACATCTATGGCACTTTAGACTGTCCCCCAGTAATGCTTTAACTTATAAATAGCACGAGCCATTTTCAGTTCCTCTGATAGGGTATATGCTCTGCAGAGAAAGAAGACAGTGTTAGGCCATTACTATCGGCTCACTCTCCTGAGGCTACACGAATGCTTTTCATTTGTTTTGATTTTATGGGTGGGTTTCCAGGGAGATCTAACGTAACCAATGTATAGGGCAGGGAATGAGGATGGAAAACTACGCCAGTGCCTTAGGTTTTAAGACACAGTGCCTGGATATATCTTGTGTGTAGTCTCGGTATTCCTTCTCAGGGAGAAGCACCCGCATCCATTTGACATTGTCTGAGAGCAGGAGCCATCTTCGACGCTGTCCTTTCCCTCGGTATACAGAGTCCTCTTCATCATCAGGCTCACCAGGGGTATAGTCTTCAATGCTCTTTATGTCCACTGAGACCACTTGAATCCACACTGCCTGCCATCTCAGTCTGTTCCACCCACTCTTCTCTCTGAGGCTCTTTCCTCTTACTCCCTATAATTGTTTCTCTAGTTAGAATAAGCTTTTTGAACTCAGATCTCACTATACCGCCTTATTCCTTCACACTCTAATGGACTTGTTAGCATACCTATAAGAAAGCCCCATATTTAATACACCCTGCTCTTCATGGCTTGATACCATCTTGCTTTTTTTCCTTTCTTTTTTTCTTTTTATTTCTAAACACAAACTCAACAACTTTCTGCTAACATAGGGCATTATCCTTCCCTGGGACACCCTTGTCCTTACTCTTTACCCAGTTAACTTTCGGATCTTACCTAAGTTACTCCCTTCTCAAGAAAGTATGCTTTGGCCTTCCCGACCAAGTCATATTTCCTTGTGATATCTGATCTTAGAATAGCGTCGTCCAGTATTCTATCACATCACAGCTAAACTGTATGGTTAGTGCTGAGTGCTGCTGATCTCTGGTGAATACCTCTGGCTTCTATTCAACTGAAAGATCTTTGAGAGATAGGGGTCAACACAGCATGTACTAAAGCCTTGTAAACAATTAAGTACTTAAAAGTATTTTTTTTTAAATATATGACTGAATGGGTGAACAATTGCCTGGACACCATTGGCAATTTGTGGGCAATCATTTTCCATTTACTCCTATTACCAACAGTACTTAGACCCTTCTTAGCCGTTTCATAAGCAAGTAGAAAAGCTCCAATTGCCCTCTGGTCACCATCACCCCTAACACTTACTTAGCATGCATGTGTAAGCTGTCAACGCCTGGTTTGTTTATAGCAAAAAGCTAAAAACTGAAATAGCAAATTCAGCAAAGAGCTACAAACTCAGGTCAGGCAGGCCCCACATACCCTTCAGCACACTCCCTTCGGCACACTCCCATCAGTTAGCTTAACTACTTGTCTGTTTGTCTGTCTGCCTGCCTGTCTACTGACCAACCTGTCTGTGTTGAGGATCCAAGTAAGGGCCTCTTGCATGGTGAACACAGGTGTTCTACCACCAGCTTAACTGAAGACAAGGAAGAGCATATTTAAAAAACCACGGGACTGAGAATAGAGGCAGGAGAGAGAGAGAGCGTGTGTCTGAGACAGTGCTCTGAGACCGGCACGTGCTTCTTCGGCATATGGCAAAGCACGCAAACAAGCGGGTCTGGCTTGCACATTTCTTTCTGAATTACTCAGAGGGGTATGTTGTGAGGCAGAGTCACCTTTAAGGCCCATTGTACAACATGAGCCCTGGGGGTAATATAGCAAACAAATTGTATTTTCAATATGGTAACAGGAGAAAATGAATGCTTATCAGATTTTTCATGTATCATTTGAAAGGGTCAAAACTCTTGTTGTGTGCAAGAGACAATTGAAAGATAAATTAAAATATGCGGAATAATTACTTTTCTTCAGCAGATATCTCAAGGGCATAATGACTAGGTGAAGTAAATCTTAGAATGTCACTTATTTGCAAAATGCTGCCAAGTAGTTGGGTAATAATTCATAGAACTCATAAAGACTTAAATGGAGTTTTTTTCTGTTACTTATTAAGATCACCTTAATAATTCATGTACGACAATACCTTTAATGAGCAACAAAATCTCACGTATCTCATTTAAACTTGGCAGCTCTGCTCACAGTTAATATAGCCTCCTGCCTCTGAGCCAGCAACTGTAGAGCAGCCGTGGGCTGTTAGACGCAGAAACCATTCCATTTATGATAATCCAAGAGAAGTTCTGTCTTAGATGAATAGTTGGGTTTTATGGTCGTCTGCTAGGAGGATTTATTCATTCTTCACGTAGGGAGACAACAGGACAATAATGAGCCAAAAGTATAACTCATCCCATACTCCATGCGGCTGGCTTTGGTTCCCTGTTAACGGCAGCAGCTGATCAGCTTTCCTCACGGGGCACAGGAATGGCCGCGATTCTAAGGCTTTCCTATGCTTAGCATCCCTTTAGATGGTGAAGGAATCCTAGAACACCATTCCCCTGGGAAAAGTCGGTCCTCTACTTTCCTCACACAGAAGTGTAAATTCACACCGGTACTTCTCTCAAGCCAAGTCATTTCCCCCTGGTGTAGTGGACGAAGCACTAACAGATGTCTTTCATAGAAGGCCTTTCTCCAGGTGATAAATTCCAAAGCAATACTCAAAATAAAATTTGAGAGGCAGAGGCTTTAGGAAATATGTATTTGCTATATCCATTTATATGAGACCAACAAACACTGCATTGACAGTGACTTAAATAGCAGAAAATAATTCCATTTACATCTATTTTGTATCCAATGGTCTTGTTTTAAATGGCTGGTTCTCAGCATCTATAAATTAAGTTGGAGAAGCTGTTTTGTTGCAGCCAGTGTTTTCTTATATAAGCCATCATTAAAAAAAAAATTATTAGCATCAAAAGTCAGGGAAATCCCTGATTTTCTATTTAGGGAAAAATAGAACAACTTCACCATAAAAGCTGATTTGCTCTTTTTTTTTTTTTTTTTTTTTTATGAGGTTAGCCTTAGTTTATACAAAAATAAGCAACACATCATCATGCAGTTAAACTTTGTCCTGCTGAGACCCGACACACACTGGGGTGAAAGCAGCAGAAGCAGCAGTACCTGGTATAAGGAGGGAGGGGCAGAGTGATTCTGGTCCACTTGTTGAAAGTGTCTGACACCAGGATCCGCTGCAGGTGGTAGCGACTGCACTCCACGTTGGTAGGGAGGCAGTCCCTCACCAACGGGTGCCACGACAGCCCAAGGTCCACCGAGTATTCCAGTTCAATAGCTGAAAACAGGAAGTAGGAGTCTCAATGTGAGCACATGCCCGCAGACCCGCAGTAACTTACTGTGTACACCAGGTTTTAAACGTGATGGAAGTTTAATTTCTCCCCTGGGTTTACGCTTCTGACTTTGAAATATTTCCCAGTTTTGTTTTGTATATTATTGCTATCTGTCTGTCTGCCTGCCTGCCTGTCTATCTGTCTGTTTGAAAATGGGGTCTCTCACACAGCTCTGACAGTCCTGGAACTCACTACATAGACTGGGCTGGCCTTGAACTCAGAGATCTGGCTGCTGGGATTAAAGGCATGCACCACAATGCCTGACCATTATTGCTAATTTTAATAAATAATATTGAATTACAACTCCTTTTAAGGAAATATGATCAAGTGAGATAGTTACTTTTCCTGAATCACTCATTATAATGAGAACCTTTTAGAAGAATTGCAACAAAGCCATTATTGCCTCCTATACTGCCAAGAGTAAAAGGGCAGCAATGCATTTTATAGTACATACAATGGACTTTTGTCCTGGTCATTCGTTACCCTGTCTCATCCCTCCTTCTCCCACTGAAACTCTTCTCAACAAGTCCCCCTCTTACTTTGTCTTTTTTTTTTTTTTTGTCAATAATATATTTGATGATTTCTTTTTAAATAGTAAAAAGTTTGAGCGGTAGTTTAAAATTTTTAATGACCTCTATTTGTGTGTTTGTGTGGATGTCTGTGTGTCTGGGTGAGTAGCCACAAAGGTCAAAAGAAGGCATCAGATCAGAGTTACAGGAAGTTGTGAGCACCCAATGTAGGTGCCGGGAACCAGACCCCAGTCCTCTATAAGAGCAGCAAGTGCTTTTAACCACTAAGCCATCTCTCCAGCCCTTCAAATTTTGACCATCCTACAAAAATTCTGGTCAATTATGCCAATTTTGCTCTTTTTATAAATGACACTCCTTAGAAATCACACAATCTCTTTTTCTTATGTATTTTGCTCTCCTATATGAAGGAATATACTGAGGAATCAGAGAAGCATGAAAGAGAGCTAGCTGAAAGTCATGGCATTTGTGTGAATGCAAGCAGTCAGATTGTGCTCTTAACATTTGGCCTCTTGGGCTGGAGTGGTGGCTCAGAGGTTAAGAGAACTGGCTGCTCTTCCAGATGACCCAGGTTCAATTCCCAGCAGCCACATGGCAGCTTACAACTGTCCATAACTCCAATTTCAGAGGAACCAACACACAGACACACATGCAGGCAAAACATGACATAAAAATAATTTTAGAAGAACAGACATTTGGCCTCTCCCCATGTTCACTGCTCTTCTTTAATTTTTAAATTTATTCTTCTCTTGTATATTACATCCTGACCACAGTTTCTCCTTCTGCCTCTCCTCTAGCCCCACCCCTTCCCCAGATCCACCCTTCCTCCATTGCTCTTTTCCTGGCTACTGAATGCTTTGCAAATGCCTCAGTTCCCACTTCCCCGATGAACTGCTTTCTTGAGGTGATAGCTTTCAGTCTTGGTGGCGCACTGAAACCCCCTGGGTACCTCGAGAAACTCCTGCTGCTTGGGTTTCATGACCAGAGTCTCCTCCCCAAATCTTCTGGACTGGCAGGTTTGAAGCATCCCGTGGTGATTCTGTGTGCCTGACATGCGACCTCGTGCTGCTTTAAGTGCGCTAGGTATGGACTGTGGCTCCTTATGGCCTCAGACATTGTTGATTGCTCTCTGATTCATTTACTTGAGGACATTTTCCCAGGCCTTCTATCTTGTTTTCACCCTGACTCCTCTGTTTCCTAGGGAAGCTTTGAACATTCTTCCAGATGTCTTTCTGGCCTCCTATTCCACATGTATGTACATACTAAGGCTGCAATTGTATCTACCAGTTTTATGCCTCGAAATTAATTTTATTCGCTCAGCCAGTGCTTGCTGAGCCTGGCACTGCACGGGATCCTGAATACATTGTGAAGAACAATCTGGACAGTCCCTCCTTTTTACAGGACCACGGAACCCTGTCACATGAACTTGCTCCCATAAATGAACAAATTTTCTTAACCACCAAACTTTATCAATGGGGATACTTTGACACTAGTTCTCTGGGTGTAAAATTTGGGCATCATTTCCAAACGCTGCCTCCTCTCTCTCTTTTACCTCTGTGCTGAGTCTGTCATACACTCCTGGTAGCTGCTGCTTTTTGATTGTTTTCATTGTCTCCTGTTTCCTTCATCCTTTCTGGCCCCTTTCACCACTACTGCACCTCCCCAACGCCTCCATCAGCGATCACTGCTATACCGTATTTACTAAGATTCCTTTCCACTTACCTTCTCAGAGCTAACTTCCCCTAAAACCCATCATGGTTCCTGTGATGGTTAGCTTTCATTGCCAACCTTAGAATCATCTGGTTAAAAAAGTCTCAGTGGAATTGTCTGCAATAGGTTGACTTCAGGGACTGTCAACTAGAGAAAGAACCAGACAACTGTGGGCAGCGCCATTCCCTAGGCAGGGTCTTGAACTATACAAGAGTGGAGAAATACAGCTGATCACGGAAACGACCAATGAGCACACATGCATTCCTTTCTTAATGCTCTGGACTATAGTTTGATACAATTAGCTATTTGATGTTCTTGCTTTGACTTCCCCACAGTGAGGGCTGTAACCCAGAACTGAAAGATGAAACAAATCCCCTTCTCCACTAAGTTGATTTTTGACAGCGTATTTTATCACAGCAACAGAAATGATACCCCTCTGTGCTTGCTCTCTCCTGTCTATGAGTTTGTCAAACACAAATCTCTGTACCTGCCCTTTAAGGTCCTTTGATGTTTGCAGCTACCTCTACTGAGTCACGTCCTCCCTTCATTTATTTTTTCCTCATGTACCCCTCCTAGGAGGCTGCGCTTGCCTGCGGTAGAAGCACACACAACTGGCTTTATGAGGGCCAGTTCTAGCTCTCGTGTTGCTGAGTCAATCTCGGGACAGCTTCCTTTGTTATTTTCATTGACTCCTTATGTTACTGAAGGATTAGGACTCTGGAATATCAAGTATATTTCTGGTTTTAGGGCCAATATGCTTCATTCTCCTGCAGCTTTCCTGTGGGTAGAGGAGCTTGATTTACCTAAGCTACTGGCCCTGTCTGGGATGGCTCCTCTATCTATCTATCCTTAAAATCCACTTCAGACATAAAGATCCAATGGAGACTTAGCTCTTTGTTAAATGCTCTCTAATTCCTTGGACGGGCCCACCACTCATCATCTCTCCCTCCTCTGAGTTTTCATTGCATCTTATATCAGTTTCAGTCCATGGAACACTCTTCTTTGGTTAGCTATTAGATTCTAAATTTTTGAGGCATATTTTCAAACAGAATGTGTCTCCTCAATATAGCCTTCTGTTTGTGCATCCTTATTTTACACATTTCATCCGATTAACTAGTGGCAACTATGTTTGAGGTTTAAAGAATACCTCACAGAATTCTTCCTAACAAAATCATATTCAAAATATTCAAAATCAAAAGAATAAAAAAACCTGGTTCCACGGAACCTTGAAAGTAACCAAGTTCTTCATATATCCATTCCCTCAGACTGAAGAACAAACAAGGATCCATATCATCTTAGAAGTGTCCTGTACGGTGGCACAGGACTGGGGTCCTCAGTAATCCCGAGGGATCTGTGAGTTCAGGTAAAGGGCCAATGCTGGACAACAATGGCAGTTTGTATTCTTCTGATCCCGCCTCCCGAGTGCTTGGATGCAGGCATGTGCTACCACACACAGTTTACATGGCGCTGAGGATGAACTCGGGGCCTTTTGTGTGCTTGGCAGGCGGTCTTCCAAGTAAACTATGTCTCCAGTTTCTCCAACTCAATCTATCTATAATGTTTTCAAAAGTATACTCTATTTACAACACAATGTTGTTGAGAAAGATTAAACAGTTTCGAGAATGTCTCAAGATCTTAAAATTTTGTATTGTGTTATTTGGATACCTAACATAATCGTTTAAGTACTTAAGTGTGTATGTGTATTCACATATGTACATGTTTGTTTATATATATGTCTGTAGCCTGGAGGTGGACATTGGGTGTTTTCCTTAACTGCTTCTTCGGGACAGTCACTGAGCTTGGAGCTCCCCGGTTACTCTAACTGGCTGGCCACTGATCTCCGGTGATCTGCCCATCTCTGTATTCCCCATGTAGAACTACAGCGCTACACAGCCATACTTGGCCTTTTCTGTGGCTTCTGGGAAGCTGAACTCAGGTCGCCATGCTTGCTCAGTAGGCACTTTACCACGTCATCTTCCTAACCCCTATGGCACAGGATCCAAATAGTCCTATATGCAGAGGCAGCCAAGGACAACCCCAGGCCTCTGTCCCTCTGTCTGGGTGTGGAATACTTACCATAGCAAGAGTCTGTGACTGAGCAGGAGGCAGCGAAATCTATCTGTAGGAACGAGTCCTCATTGACAGCAATGTCTGTGGTGACCACGTAACGGGTGCTGGCCTTTTCAATAAAGACCAGGGCGTCGCCTGTGGACCCACACACAGGCATCTTGGTGCCTCCTGGGTGAAGTAGCCACTTTCTGCTGTCCAGAGTTGAGAAGTCATCTTCTAAGACTGTATTGCCAGAGATATTTCCTCCGATAAGAATCTGAAACACATTTTTGAAACACCCCAAATTTTGGTTTTAACGCACAGAAAGGTTCGGTTGTTTCCGTTTGTTTGTTTTGGTCTGTCAGCCAGCTCGGGACGGGTGCTGTACGGCTAGCAGAATGTGAGGGAGCTCTCAGAATGCTCTTGTTTCTGTGGTTTGCCTGCCCATCTGGCACGGCGCTACGGAAAACAAATCAAAGGACTGACAAAACCATTCACAGCCATTCCTGGGCCAAACGGTGCCGTTGGAAAGCACATGTCCCCAAGCTGGGAGAGCAAAATTTGGCTCGCCTGTGATTAGTTTCCATGTAAAATTTCTATTTAAGGACAGTCACACCCCGAGGCATTTCAGTTGGAATTCTTTGCATGAACCCGACTGTTTGTGAGCGGGTTCTCTGAGTTTTGTTTGATACACTGTATTATGTATGAAGATCCTTCATGGCAGTTCAGAAAGATGCTGGGGGAGATTTATTTATTTATTTTGCATCAAAGGCTGGAAAAGAGGATTTGAGAACAACTGCATACGGCATCGATGCTCATTTGCATGCTTTCCTTTTCGGAGAATTATAGCCTCGTATCATGCTTGATAAAGTCCCTCTGTCCGTATGGCAGCACCCTCTGAGCTCGACCTAGGCCTTCTGTTGTGCCGTTTATTTTTACAGGCTTAGGCGATTGAGAGAATGGACAATGAAAGGGAGTTAAACACCATATCTAATCTAGGTGTGTACCCTTGGGCAAGTCATCCAACTGTCTGCCTGAGCTTCCACCAGCACGGGGGTTTGACTAACATGCTTTCAAAAGTCATGAAAGTTAAAGTAGGCAATGCAGAAAAGACTGACCTGGTCAATCACCCAGGGGCTATAGAAGTGCCCATTTTCAGATGGTTGCCACCAGCGGAGGCGTGTAGAACCCGAACGGGCTTTCAGGGGCATTTCCAGGGCAATGTACCTGCCCACATTGCTGGAGTTGCTGAAGAGGAACTCCTGAAGAAGACTCCAGGAGAGACCACCATTGAGGGAATACTGCAGAAGCACGGGCTGGCTCCTGGGGTCTGGAACACCTTTACCACATCCCAGTCTCATGAAGAACTGCACAAATCTGACAGCAGAGGACCTTACTGTAGCTTCTACTTCGAAGAGAAATCCGCACCATTAACAAAAGGCAAGCAGGGGGCACAGGGTGGGGCAATGGGTGGATTTAATAAACATGATGATTTAGTGAGCATCCACAACAATCACTTCAAAGCCCCATTTCCCATTCTCATGTGAATGGGAGTTAATTAAATGTGAAGTGTGAAAAATGGCAATTCTGGCTCATGTTTGCGTCCTGAATCTCTCTTCCAAGGAGTCTGAGGAAAGTGAGTGTCGTTGCATCCCGTGGCTACGGTAGAAGATGTTGGGAGAGATCCAAGGGCCGTTCACGTCTGAGAGTGTGTTGTTTGTCTAGTGAAGACAACTGGATTCCAGTCCTCAGTGTTAGGAACTAGCAGAACATACATAACACAGGTGCCATATTGCCAGTAAAATTCATTTTACCGGTAGCCTTACAAACCTGGCGTCACTGGTTTTAGGAGACCATTTACAGGCGGCAGCTGTAGCTCCTCTTTTCAAAAGGCCAGCCTACTTTTGGAAGAAGGTGTGTTAAGCCTGGGCCTCTTTTCTGTCTTTTGTGCTAGGGCAAGGGGCAGCGTGAGTGTGAGGTGGTGGTGGTGGTGGCGGGCTGTGCCAGACTCTGTTGCAAAGTTTCGCTGTGGATATACTGGCCGCTGAGAGCTGTGGCGGCCAGCCAGTGGCAGCTTCCCTAGCTGGCAGGGAGGTGGGCAGAGTGGCAGCAAGCAGCTGGGGTGCCAAGGAAAACTGGCTCACATGTTATCTTTGGCAGGCAAGCTGCTGGTGCCTGGTCTGGTGCACTATTCTAACGGGTAAGGCAGAATAAATTTCATGTCAAATCCAACAAATACTCAGTCATATAACAGGACTGATAATAAATGTTATCAGTATCATACACAGAGCCATTTATTCCTCATGATTCTCCCAACCTCTATTTATTTATTTCATGGCCCTGAAAACACTGAGATCTTCCACTGAACATTTTAAGGTCAATATATGCAAATCCCACACAGCATGTGACTGGATGAGCTATATAATGCAGCTTTTAACATTTGATGAATGAAAACATGCATTGTTAGTGCCTAGTGATGTTTACACAAATAAGAACAGTACTTACTGAGAAAAAGCTAGGTATATTATCTACTTGTATTGGAAAGATGTTTAAATTAGTTTAGTGATAACATAAACACCAAATTAATATTCAGAAAAATTATATCAGAATTACTTATTTGGAAAAACTTAGTAACTTCTAAATTAGAGAACCTGACATAAAGAATATCAAATTAAACTATGTGCATTTGAATGGGATAGAATAAAAAATTGCTTTCAGTAACTCTAAAATTATTTTAGATAGAATTGTATTTTCTGTGAATTATATTATTTATAATCAATAAGTGAGAGACTGAGCGACTCAGGAGAAAGAGGGAATGTTCAGATATAGTTTTAAGTAGTGTGAAACTTTAAAAACCATAAACACGATTTCCTTGTTCATCCAAAAATAGGTCAGGGCTGCATTTCACACACGTGAAACTGTATTTTATATGTTGCCGTGAAGGTTTTGGCTCATCAAGTGATCAGGGGATATACATTGTGACAGGATGTAATCCCCTGAGCCAGTTTAAAATGTGTTTTTTTCTGAGTGACGATGCTCAACTTAGAAACGATTTCTTATGGGCTAGTGAAGTGTCATGCATTCGCTTATGAAGACTAAGGACGAGACTTCAAATATTCTCAACTAAATTTCCTAATGGAGGTAAAACTAATCATGAATAACTTCAGCTGAGCTACTCTTACTAAGGCAGTACAATAAATGCAAATATTTTCCCTACAGTTCAAGTGCTAATGCAAGTAGTCAGTAGAAGGCAGATAAAAAAGATGTGATATTATTTTTTTGAAGTTAGAGTAAATTAAATACTGTCATTTTCTAGCCTCATGATTATAAAATAACAGACACGAGGTTTTCTTTGCCTAGGTGTTTCACATCTGATGTCGGTACTGAACAATCGTCTGTCTTGAACTAGAAATTATGTGATCTGTGTCTTGCCGGGGTTTTGGAGAGCTCCCTGCTTCTGCTGCGCACAATTGTGTGCCTCAATTACCTCGCGTGTGATAGATCCAGGTCCCGTGTTACCAGCATGCGCAGGCCATCTTCGTTGAAGAAGAGGTTGTTCCCGCTGGAGAGGATCCCGCACTTCCGGGAAGGCTTCCCACCACTCATTAGGAAGAATCTATCAGATTCCAGTTGACCTGAGAAAGTGGAAAATGTGGTTTACCCATGACCGTAAACATAGCTGTATCGTACTTTCAAAGGACTATGATGAATGTGTCATGCCATGTAGTTTTAAAAGGCAAAGCCATATGCATTAAGCCATACGCATCTTGGGATGGAGGAACTCTTTATAATATGAACTTCTTCAAAGTTTCTAGCCTTGGCTTAGGTAAAGGTTCACATGTCAGAGAGAGTCTTCTTCCAGGTTTCTAAGGTTCAGCCAGGCAAGCCCCATATCCAGGGAAAACACTGGTTGGTCAGGAAGTGAATGAGGCCGGAAGAAAGGGAGGTTGGGAGGGGTGTGCTCCACCCCCCCCCCCCCCCCCCCCCCCCCAGTGTCTTTACTCTGTCATTTCTAACATGAGGCAGTGTTAGGGAGGAATAACTCAGTAAGCATCTCTTAAAAATTTGATTTTTTTAATCACAGAAATTTAAATATAACTTAATAGTTGGTGTTAAATGTCTTCCAAAGCCGATTCTCAATGTACTCAGGTATGAATCTTAGATTTAGTTGTTTTTTTTTTTTTTTCATTGTGGTAAAACACATAAAACATGTATACCGTAATAACAATTTACATTTGAATAATCCAGAGGTATTTATGGTGGTTCTGATATAAAACCTTCACCAATCCTTTAAGGTTTCATCCCCACCCCAAAAGAAGCTTATGTCAATAAAGGGATCACTTCCCTCTTTCCTGCATTCCTGGCAACCAACTACTCTGTTTTCTGCCTCCAAGGATCTGGTTATTTGGGATGTTTCAAACAAACAGAATAAATAATGCATTTTTTTTGGTCTGGTTTCTTTTATTTATTGTATATTTCCAAGGTTCATATATATTATAGCAAAAATCAATAGTTCAAATGTTTCATGGCAGTGTAATGTTTTGTTGTGGGTTTATACCTAAATGTAGTTTTAAAATGTACTCTAAAACCATAATAAAAACTGTTATTCTTACTTTAAAGTTATCAAAAAACATAAATAATTGAAAGTCTTACAGAAAATGGAGGAAAACAAACAAAATCTTTTGTTCTGATTCCATTAACATAGATAGCTTCTGTATTCATCTGCCATATGAAAGCATTTAATCCGACCTTTGGTAAAAGTGCGTCTACAATTTAGATGCTCCCTTAAATCACTGGTATATGATCTACATTTTTCTCAGTTGTAATGCTATCATTCTATGTAGTGATGACAGAGTCTGGGTATGAAATAGAGGCGTGGAAAAGGAAGAGAGGATGCCTGAGCAGTTGGTGGAAATATGATTTTTGAAAAAAGTGTTCCTTATATCTAAGATCATCCTTTAGACATGTTCTCCCAATTCTTGTTAATCAGTGAGTGCACGTGGTATAAAGAGTGGTGATGTAATACCATGGCAAGACCTGAACATGCCCAGTGTGAAGAGGGGAGGACTTGGGCATGAAGTTTCACTCCAGCCAAGGAGCTACTGGCAATTGTCAGCTGTAGAGGGAGAGAGAGACAGGCTTCTCTAAGAGCGTAGCCCCCAAAAGACTACTCCCCAGGACAAGGCCCCACATCCAAGAATAGCTGGGCAGCACAAATCTGAAGGGGAAATGAAAAGGACACAAAGTTGGGTAGGAAGGGCAGTGGGTGGATAAGTGGATGTTAGAAGAGTTGGAAGAAGGAGGTGAATATTATCAAAACACAAAATACAAGACCCTCAGTGACCTAATAAGATATATTTTAAAAGTTAAATATAATTAATTAATTAAAGACATTTGTCTTATTCTTCTTATCGATCCTTATGTGTATAACATACTCTATCAATAGTAGTATCAGGGTATTAATGATAGAATCTATATATTGAAAATAAAATAAATTTTACAATAAGTGGTGAAAATAACCTTTAATTTCTCAAGGAAAGTCTTATTCTCTCTCACTAACCACTATTTCAAAAGAAGAAAGAAATGGACTTTTATGTGTTGGGAGTTGTAACAATAACTGTTAGAAAGTATGTGATGGCTAATGCTCCATCGCAGATGGGGTTTACATGTAAATTCTTCCAAAAACCACACACAAACGATTACCTTCAAAATCGTCTTTGAGAAAATCAGGGTTTTTGGTGCTTATTTTACAGGTTGGACCAGAGTAGCCAGGGTCACAAATACACTTGGTCCCGTTGATGCAGCCCCCATGCCCGTTGCACATCTCTTCACACTGGGGACCGATGTAGACATTGTCAATGGCCCACGTGACGGGCTGAGAGCCAGCAGGGTAAAATCCCTGGTACCAACGGAAGCGCACAGATCTAGAGCACAAGAACAGGGGTCTCAGAGTTATCCAATAGATCTTTAGAGTTTAATCTTTAGAGTTTAATCTTTAGAGTTAGCACATTTGGTCCATAAACAGTGCAAATTACTATTTATGTATCAACTTAAGAAGAAAACAGGACTTAGGAAAGAAAACAGAAGAAAATAAGACTTGCCATTTCAGGGAAATTCCATTATTATTATTATTATTATTATTATTATTATTATTATTATTATTATTATTATTATTACTGTTTCTTACAGAATTTTACCAGTTATTGAAAACCACACCTGGTCTTCCTATGCTTTCAACACTGGCTCTCCTAGTGAAGATTTCTCTCTGCTGTCAATACTCTGCATAACTAATCTGTTAAAAAAGACCCAATGTAAAACCCAGGAAACATAAAATCGACCACAAACTGCTTAAAACACACAATTCTGTGCTATTTATACACCGACAGGGCTGCGTACCTCTGTCTAGTTCCAAGGCATTTTCTCACCCTCAGAGGAAACCCCAGACCCATTCAGCAACCCTTCATTTACTTTTCCTTGGCAACCACCAACCTCCTCTCTGTCTCTGTGGATTTGCTCGTTCTGAGCACTCCACAGCAAGGAAACTATGCAACATATGGTCTGCGTTCGGCTATCGTCATTCAGCATTAATGTTTTCAAGGTCCATTCACTTGTAGCAAGTGTCAGACTTTGTCCTTCCTCTTAATGCTCCCTCGAGGGGATTTATCAGTCTTATTCATTCATTGGATTGATCGTCTCCACCTTTTGGCTAGCGAGATTGCTGCTGCTGTGAACATATGAGTAGCGCAGTATTTGTCATGGATAAAATGGTTGTGGAATTGCTGGGTCGTAGGGCCATGCTTTTCCACAATCGTGATGACATTTCCTATTCCTTTTACTAGCAGAAAGCTTGTAGAAACTAATGTCTATGCCTCCTTTATCACAGCCTTTCACAGCACCCAGTAGTGTGTGTGTGTGTGTGTGTGTGTGTGTGTGTGTGTGTGTGTTTAACACAGTAACTTTCAGTAAATTTTAAAAGAAAAAAAAATCAGATTTATTTTTGGATTGCAGCTTTTTATGTCCCTTTTTTTAAAGATGAAAAAATAGGCAAATACGTCAGGCTTGGTGGCTACATGTGATCTCAGCACTTGATATAGAGATAGAAGGACTTCCATGAGTTTGAGGCCAGCCTGGATACACAGTGAGTTCTAGGCCAGCATGGATCGTGTGTGTGTGTGTGTGTGTGTGTGTGTGTGTGTGTGTGTGTGTGTTTTAAATACAAAACTAAGCAAGGGACTAACCACTGCACCCCTTCCTGCAATCCCCCAAACTACCACCGTCACCAACATTAGCAAGTGAATTATCTCATCATGTTACTGGTGACAATCACGTCACTGGAACTAATGTGTATATTCAACTAGAAGTCCAGAAATAACATACTTTCTATAAAAGTCAGTGCAAAGACGGTGGGTTGGAGGAGACAAGAGTTAGATAGGCCGCCATCTTTGTGTTCCAGGAATTTATTCATCTTCTAGCTACCATATATGCTAACTTCTCAAGAGCTTCAAATTTGAGAAACAGATGTTAGAAGATAAACACTAGGGATGGAGGTGGGTCAGGAGAAGGAAGCTGGTTAAGCAGAGAGTGTCAGAGTGTAAGGGCGATGGAGTCAGGCTCTCATACGTGGTTTCATTGTTTACATTAAGACCCCAAGTATACTAAGTTGTCCCCAAACACCAATTGATAATTAAACCAGGCTCTCCTGTACTTCTCAGAGTTAGTCTCGGCAAAGGCATTTCCTACCTTTTGAACTTTCAGACTGCTGAGCTGAGGGAAATGGCTGGAGTTTTCCTTTGAACAAAAGCCTACATGGATTTTGTTTGAACTTATTTATTCAAATGTTCTGAATACAAATGAACCACCTTGGTTGGGTATTTATCGGTGTTCACCCGCCTTGGCACAGAAACTGCAAGTACTATGACAAATGGGCTAAGAGCCTGGTTTCACTGTGGTTCCCTTCGGCTGAAATCTTATTTTGAAAAATTCTCACTGCCATCCTCCTTGTGAATGTCAGCAACCTGCTCTCAAGCCAGCGCTGCTCAAAGGATCTGTCTTTGTTTTTTAAATATACACTTAGAATTTCGAGCACACCACACTGTCTCCATTCAATAGGGCCTTTGGTTGGCTCATTTTGAAACTGCATAAAACAAAAACAATTAGGACATTTTCAAGACAAAAAGGACACAAAGGTGATGTGAACAGAATCAGGTGGAAATTCAGCACCCAACCCTTATGTTTTGAATATAAAGAGTATGTCGATACTGTCAATTTGAGAGTGGGACATGGAGAGGGTTGGCGGAAGAGGATACAAAAAGAGCTGGAGAGAGGAGAAGGAAGGGAAAGTGATACATTTATATTTCAATTAAAATGTAAAATATGTCAAAAACGTGGCGCTGAAAACATATATTTAATTGTGTATGTCTATGTCCACACGTGTATCCAGTGTCTATTAAGTCACAGAAAAGAGTAATTGAGCATCACATATGTGCGAACACATACACATACACACACACACACACAGACACACACACACACTTTAGCAGCTAGCATTTATGCTGTTATTATGGCCCGTGTTGAATACAAACCAAGGAATGGTTCACTGAGTTGGAGAAAATTTCACTTTTGCCTTCCAGCAATTCATGCCCTTGTGGGTTTTAAAAACAGGACTTTTCTTGAGACAGGGATTAGGCAACATTATGAGGACAAATTCTTCCCTCCACAGAAATGGTTGGAAACAGTTTGGGTTGATACAATTCTGAGTGTGGGCATGACTCCTAGCCAATTTATTTCCTTTTCACAGAAATAAAATGACACTGAATACAAGCAACTCACAAGTCTCAATTCTGTACATTATGAATATTTTTTTTTTTCAAAAATGGATTTCCTCCAGTGGGTGAAATAGAGATATCTGTATTTCCCTTGCTCACATTCCCAAGACATGCTGCTGCGCTTTCCGTGTGAGCGTGGCAGAGAGGCTACCACCTATGTGAGGCGTGGCCCTGGGGCTTGGTCCTCTTGGTGTGGGAAGCCTTATTCTGCCTTTTACTCCAGATCTCTTCACTTACGTCCTGTACTTCAGAGGAGACTTGTTGGCATGTGGGAACTCTGAAGCAGTCTTAGGTGGCACACTGTAATCATGGCTACCACCTACCTTCAGAGCCTTTCTTCACTAGGAAGTCAGAGAAAAGCAGAGGCCCACTGAAGAGGCCCGGGTACTTGTCAGTATCACCGTCATGGAGTTGAGGGACTACTTTGGTCACAAGCATGCTTCACTCTGCTTCAGTGGTTATAAAACTATGGTATGAACTAGGTAGCTCATAAACAATGGCATTTGTTGTTTTTAATCACTGTGGAAGCTGAAGATTCAAGACCCTTAGCACAGGGTTTGCTAAGGACTTACTCTATAGCTCATAACAGGTGCCCTCTAGCTGAGTTGTGTCTTCATGTGAGTTTTTTGGGGCCTCCCTCATGAGGGCTGCAATTTCATTTATGACCTAATGACCTCTGCTAAGGCCACACTTCCTCATGCTGTGACCTTAAGGGTTAGGATTCCACTATATGAATTTTGGAGAGACATTGTCAGACCGTAAGAGAGCCTAAGTAGTTGAGGCCCAGGCCTTTCCCATGGCTAGTCTTTCCAGGAGTGGTCTCTTGACTTTTGGCTACAAATGAGTGTTCAGATTTCTGTTTTAGGAGATATTGAATCAAGGGTCCCGGGAAGCATGATCTACTTGGTGTTCATGGCAGGTTAATAAAAATAAGGATCACAACTCCCTAGAATATTTTCAATACATTCTTCCATGTTCTAAATGAAAATTAACTGATTTTAGATAGAACACCCCTTCCCCCCTGTACTGTTGAGCTATTATCCCCTGTCTAATTCTTCTAGGAACAGCTCTGCTAACCAATAGGAGCTCAGCATCAAACTGTCCGGGCACTTTATGAATCCTGTGATCTCTAGAGATCTCCTTGCTCCCAACTATCACTTCAGGCTGCTCTGTTTAGTGATACTTGTATGTGATGAAAACACTGGGTTTCTGTAAGTATACTGCCTTCATGCCAGAACAAGTGACATAGTCAACAACAGAAAGTATTTAGGCTCTTAACAATCAACTTATGAAAACCACTCTAGTGAGGTGATGAAGGGTGGACAGATTATGCTTCAAGATAATGCTAACTTTTGAAAATGCATTTCACTCTTTTGGAAAAGTACTGATTACTAGTTTTGCTTATAGACAGGAGAGTTCTAATTATTTCTAGTTGCACGTGGGTATTAAACATTGATTTTCATCTGAAAGGTGAGACAGTAGTACTTTCTTCTTTTCGATATACATGAAAAGTAGAATGGTATTCTAAAACGGAATTCTCAACCTGTGGGTCACGAACCCTTTGGGAGTCGAACAACCCTTCCACAGGGGTCACCTAAGACCAGCGGAAAACACGGATATTTATATTATAGTTCATGGCAGTAGCAAAATTGCAGTTATGAAATAGCAACAGAAATGATTTTATGGTTGGGGGGGGGTCACCACAGAGTGAAGAGCTGTAATAAAGGGTGTTAGGAAGGGTGAGATTCACAGGCTAGCTGCTTTGTGTGATGTCCTCTCTCTGTTCCCCTCCTCATGTGAGAAGTTTTATCGTTTTAAAACTCTAGTCATCCTTTCCTTTCCGTAAGAGTTGAAGTCCTTTATCTCCAAATGGTTTTTCAACAGAAGAGAAAATTATTAATGTTACAAGAATGCTGAGAGAGGTTGAAAAAGTAAAAATGCCCAAGGGGGAAAGTGCTAACGCCTTTTAATGAGGCACCAGGAACCAGCTGCAGGCTTCCAGCTTCCACAGGCCCACGAGGATGCACTGCATTTTTACCGTATTTATAGTGCGAGGTGAGAGCCCATGGGAAGAGGGTCAAATTATGAGAAAAATACATTATTTTGCTTCCTTTTGATTTGCTAAAGATGCATGGAGAAACAGATTTCAAGGTGTGCAATCCATAGTGTGCTCTTCAGTCTATCTTCAAAACTATGCACAGGTAGTTAAATCACTCCCCCCACCCCCGCCCCCCACCCCCACCCCCGCTTTAAACCTCTGTTGATCTGTTTCAAGTGAGAGCTGAAAAGAGACCCGCAGTCGCATTTCCTTCCTGAGAGTGATAGCTGGAAGGGCGGGTCACCGGATGGGAAACAAAGGCGGTGCCAGGCGCGGTGCCAGGCGGCAGCCCCTCACCCGCAGAGGTGCAGCTTCCCGAAATGCACCACCTCCCTCCGCCAGCCCTGGGTGGTCCCTGCGTAGTAGGTGCTGCTCGGGTGGTGCTCGGTGGAGCATAAGGAGCTGACGTGGCTGCTGCTGTGGTAGCAGAGCGGCAGCAGCAGGTGCCAGGTGGCGCCGAAGTCCCGTGAGAATTCCAGTCTGACCGGATCAGCTGATGAGCTGTCAGTGGAGCAGCCGACATTGATCTTGGGATGAAAGAAAACGTGATACAGATTATCTCAGGGCAACAAGCCCCGACACTGGACACACTTCCTGGAGCCCATTTAACCCCTGGGAAGGGTCTTACTGACATCTGTATCTCTGGAAGATCTGTTTCCCCCAACTGACATCATAGATTACCTTAAAATTACACTTTCTTCATACAAAGCCTAAAAAAGGCCTCACAAAACCCATTTTCTCTCATGTTATAAGACACAGAAAATGAACAAGGGAAAGGTTGAGATAATTCCATTTTTTCCAATTTTACCTTTGGTCCTCCCCCACCTCTGTTGTCAAGCTGAGAAAATTATAATGAAAAGAATGTTTTCTTAATTCTGCTAGCTTCCTTGTCAGTTTAGTAGATAGTAACACCTATTTTCTTTCTTATGACACCTTGTAAATAATTCCAAAAGTTTTGAACTTGAAGAATCTTCAACACACATTCAATATAAAAACAAAACAGAACACAATCGTTGCTATTTTTTTCCCCCGATACTGGGACAGAGTTTTTAAAAAATTGTAACTCTTTACGACTGAAAGAATTTTGAGATAGTATATGCGGTGAAATGACATTACAGTTAAGAAAGCCAATGTTCGCTTCCATAGTCACTTTGTGCACGTGTTCTGTGTAACACGTCATACCTAAAATCTGCTTTGCAATTTCCCGTACGTCACGCGCTCTCTTACACTCTCTCATGTTGGACACTGGATATGTCGATCCTTTGTCCAATCAGATGGCAAATTTGCCACCTTTGACCTTTCCTTTTCCTCTCCCTCCTTCACTCTCTCCCTTCCTTGCTTCTCCCCTTCCTCCTTCCTTCCTGAGAAGCCCCTCCTGCAAAATGCATGTGACTCTTTGTGTGCCAGATCTCACCCTTCCAACGCAGATGAACATTGTCCTACTATCACGCTATTATAGTAACGATTACTTAGTATGCAGTGAGGGGAGTGGAGGCGGATACATAAGGAAGGGCGCGTGACTGTGCCCTTTACCTTCTAGTGAATAAACAGTGAGACTTCATGAACCTTTTCAACCACAGGCACTAATTTCTACCTCAATTTTCCAGAAGAGACAATCCCACAACTTTTCCTTAGCACTGAAACCATAAAGTCGGACACTGTAACAAAGTTAGATACCGGAATAATGTTTCCCACGACCTACCATGCTGGCACACAAGCTTTGATTGTGCTGCTTTCACTCAGTTGTTCTAAATACATATATTATTTCATTATGAATTCCCTTTCCTGACAAATATAAAGAGCACACGCAATGCCAACTACACACAGCAAGTGCATTTAAGGTTTTAAAAACACTGTGATATTGTTTTATCTGTAAAATTCAGAGTAGCATGATAAACATCTACAAGTATGCTGACCCAGGACAGACTATAGTTAGATTGACCTAGGCCCTAAGACATTCTAGTTTCACATAAGAACTGTGAAAACAACAAGACCACAACAGCATTCTTCCACATTTTTATAATTTTAAAGTAACTAATTGTAACACGTATTAGAGCAGGTGGGAGAGCACACGAACCTTTTGTGACCTTACGCAAAACCAGGAGGTCACAGTAAAGACTTCCCTCTTCTTGCTGAGGCTTTGCTCAAAGTCACACTTAAAAGTATTGCTAGGAGAAGAGAGAGGGTACCTCAAACTGAATGATGGTGTTCTCATTCACATTCAGGTCACGTGTGGTAATGGAGTGCTCACCGGCTTCGTTTGAGACAAACACCATGGCCGAATCTTCCTCACTGGTTAGCAAGAAAGCAACAAGGACATCGTTTAGGTAGACGCTCCTCCTGGTTTGTATGAAGCAATGCCTTTTCAATTAGAGACTTACGGAGCTCCCTTCGAAGAATATGGGCAGTAAAGACCGATATTGCCACCTGGGTAGAAAAACCAGTTGTCCTCTCGGGGTCCAAAGTCGAATGTGTCCAGCAGTGTCATGGGATTGTTCAGGTTGTTTCCATCAATAACGAAGTCATCGACAATCCAGATTTCCTCTTTCTTGCCTGAGACAGTTTTGGAGAAATCAAGTTTTTTCCAAAGAAGAAAATCTGACTTGCTCATTGAAAGAAAGCAAACGGCAGGAAAGAACTCAGCGGCAACAGTGTCGACATATGCTTTTCAGACAAAACTCACAAGCCGCATGGCAGCACCTTCGCAGTGATCAAAGTGTGAAGAAAATATGCTTGCAACCATATTAAATGGCATGGCACACAACAGCCGCTGTGATCTCAGGAAGCTGAGCTGAGCAGCTTGCGAACGCATGCTGTCCTTTCAGTCAGAGTAGTGCCATGGACCATTCTCCAACATGTGTGGTAGTTTGGGGCACCGGTAAGACAACTGTCTGTGATGATGGCGGCCAGGGGCTGAGAGCTGAGGTACACTGTCTAGTCAAGGAGTGCCTCACGACCTTTTAAAACCAACCATGGCATCAGTGTTGTGAGGCATGATACTATCTTGCTTTTCTTAGCGCTCTTCTAAGCCTCCTAGGTTTACTTGAAGACGTGTGGAAATAAAAAGCAGTTGGACTCACTCCAAACTGCCATAGGCTCTGCCTCAGGTCACGTGGTTAAGGAAGTGCTATATTGTAGATAGGGCAAGGTCTAGACTGCTTTAGCAAAGCACTGTTGGGACTGAACTTGAATAAAGGACACAATGCCATGCAGTGATGGTTCACATCAACTGTCAACTTGAAAGATGGAGAACCCGGGAGACTCTCCTCTGGGCACACCTCTAGGGAACTATCTTAATTAGGTTGATGTGGGACGGCCTGCCCGCTATGGGTGGCTCACCATTGTCGTGTGGGAATTCTGGACTGTTTTAACAGGAGAAAGTAACTCTGCTTGACTGTGGCTGCCTTGGACCATCTGGCTCAATCCCCTGCACTGTCCCCAAATGTTACTTTCTGCACAGTTCTTGTAATGTATGAAAGCAGATTTGTAAATAGTAGCTGTCCAGCTTTGTCTCTTTTCACTCCTGTCACGGCCCTAATTCTAGTAGCTTTCTTTCATTTTCTTGGTTTGAAAGCATTTGATGAAAACAATAAACAAAAATAAAGTAAGCATTTTAGATGTATCAGGAGTGCCATCATCTTCTGGATTTTAAAACTGGGTGTATTTCTTTTTCAGAGTTTTGTTTACTCCCTATGTATGATCCATGAACATAAAATAACAGGTAAGATATATAGATTATATTTTAATAATATATACATCTTATATAATTTCATATGCATTTTATATCATCTCCTATATATGAATACATTTAAACAAAATCTGCCATGATTTTTGTCTACCTTACAACATGTCAGAATTTTAGTTTTTACCTGTTGTAAATACAGGTTAAATATTAGAGCTAGAAATATAGTTTTCATATCCATTTCTGTTACTTCTGCTTAGCATGGTGTAATTGTGCTAATTTAGACAGTTAGTTGCACGCGCTGGAAAAGTTTGGCACTTCAGATTCAACATTACTGGCACTATGAAGTAATCAAGGTTAAAAATTTGAAAAATCTTCTGTAAATGTAAAATGCTGTTAAATGCTACATCTGTTTGGTGTAATATTGAGACAAGGCAATGTGATGAAGCTTTAAGATACTGTTCGCTTAGTCTAAGTTCCTCTTACTTTTTTCCCAATGATCTGTTTCACTAATGAAATGCTGTTCAAAAGAGTGGTACACCCTAAATGAGTTAAACAGAGTTGTTACTGATGAGTAGCTGTAATAATGGATTATGAAGAAGAAGAAGAAGAAGAAGAAGAAGAAGAAGAAGAAGAAGAAGAAGAAGAAGAAGAAGAAGAAGAAGATGAAGAAGAAGAAGAAGAAGAAGAAGAAGAAGAAGAGAAGAAGAAGAAGAAGAAGAAGAAGAAGAAGAAGAAGAAGAAGAAGAAGAAGAAGCAGCAGCAGCAGCAGCAGCAAACCAAAATGCCTAAGTTCTGTGACTCACACCTGTGATCCAGGTAACTGGGAGGCCAAGGGAAGATGATCTTAAATTCAAAACTGTTCTGAGCTATATGGTGAGTTTTGGGCCAGCCTGGGTGTAGAGGGGAAGATGTCTTAGCCCAAACCAAATGATGGCAAACCAGTGAACTCTGACAAGGTGACAACAAGGTGGAACTTCCCTGAGAATGGTCAAAAGGGAGGCAGGTAACGCGTGAATGGTATGTATAGTCAGTGTGCCTCTCAGACAACCTTTCCTCCGTGACTTAGGGGGAAGAACATTAACATGCGGTCGTCAATTCTGATCCAGACAGAACACAGGCATTTTACCATTATTGTACGGTTGCCAGAGCCTGAATCTCGTAGTGTTGGTTTGGGCGCTGTTTGGCAAGGGAACGTTAATGAAGAGTACGCTGGTCGTTTGAGGGAAGTAAAACTCATCCATCAGGTGCCAAGTGATTCCGCCATTGACAGAGAATTGTAGTAGGATGGAGTGGGACCGCTCGGGGGTGCCTGTGGAGAGGGCAGCACAGGTGTGAAGCATCCTGCCACGAGGAGACAGCCTGCTCTGAGCTGACTCTGTCAGCGCACGAGCCCGTTCATATTTACACAGACTTTCTGCTTCAGCTGCTTCAGTGACAACTGAAAGTACTTGTAGGTAGGGCTTTTATATAAAGCACATTTTAAAAAATACCCAGATGTAGCCATCCTTTCTCTTGAAGATACATGTATGACACACATGTACACACGTGCCTGTCTGCACTCTTTCTCTCTTTTCTATACCTACAAGATACCAAATTGAAACTTATTCATTCTGCTGGCATCATTGTTGCAAAAGCTGAAGCATTTAAATCAAGGGAATAGAAATAAAAGTCAGTTGAAAATGTCTTATACCCACAGTGACATTATTATTAAAGAAAATTATCTAATTAAATATGTAGAGTAAGAGTGACTAAGCAGTGTTTGGGGAGAATTCACATCTGTAAAACAGACCCTGAATGTTCATAAGTTAATAATTTTTAACTTAACATTCTGACAGCTAGAAAGCTGTGGTAGAAGGGTCAAAGGACATGATGGTTAAGTTTTACCAACTAGCGTGGAAATCACCTCTTTGTTAAGCAGTTTAAAATGGTAGCTGTGCTACCTCTTACCACTGTGGTAACCGGAAGTTGTATTAAAAACCATGTGTAAACAGTGAAAGCTAAGGACCCTCAGCAGGGCGACCTCTTTATGCACAGGACAGTTATTTTGGTGGAAAATGATGTGAACCATAGGGATAGCTTACCTTTTGCTATAAATCTGAGTGAAAACTGGACATACATGGTATTGGTGCAATCCAGGTCTCTTGAGATAAGCATTCGGAGTCCCTCCTGAAAACAAAGAGAAAGGAAACTTTCTTCACTGCAGAGTTACTTTGATTTTTTTTTTTTTTACATACTTACCTTGTGTTAATTAGCTAAGTGAGAGCTGCACAGTTAGACGTAATGAAGTTACACATGATGAGCAGCGAAGTTTTATCCAGCTCAAATGGAAAAAGAGATCCTCTCCCTCTCTTAATGGCCTTCATTTTCTGTGTTTTAAGCAACACGATTTCATTTTCCCACCTCTAATTCATACTTTTCTGTGGCTCTTATTAAAAAGTGGTGCAAAAAACCGTCCACGACTGGAGTTTCAAAATTAGTCTCCTTTGATCACAGCATGTTGTAGAAGAAGGAAGTAGGAAAAAGATGAAAAATGTGCCGAGTGCTCCTGCTGGAGGCCAAGAACTAACAGCTAACTCCCAGGACTCCGAGGAGTCTTGGGAGCTCACCACTGCTCTGCCTGCTCCGCCAGCCACCCCCTGGAGGCCCTCACTCAGACTGACACAACCTCCCAGTTAAATGAGGCAGAAGGAAGGCAGGTTCCCGTGCCTAGACTGCAACCACTCGTGCAGAGAAGCCACGCAACGAGGAGAACGATCTCATTAGCTTTAGCCATTTTTTTCTGCTAATTAACTACTTCTGGTTGCCTGGGATTGACATCTTGGAAGGTTGTTTTGTTCCTGTATACAGAAGACTGCAGTGACAGCAATAAACTACATTTCACTATGCAAAGATCCCAAGGTCCAAACAGACTTCCGGTTTCTCAGCTGAGCCTGCTGAGCGCAGTGACTTTCCTGTGGTCTGTGGCCGGGACGCTACCAGCTGACTTCCTAATTACCAACTAGCAAAGGCCAAATGTTGTATTAGCTAGGGAACGTAAAAAGTTTTCTCTACTTCTTGTGTCTTACAGGCGGCTGTCACTAATAGCTGCAATAGCAAACACATATTGAGTGCTTGTAACATGCTGGGCTTTAATAGACACTTTACTGACAACTATGCCTAAGAGAAAGATATGATTCTCATGTTGGAAATGATAGAGAAACAGAGAGAGGCACACACGCACACAGATACACACAGAGAGAACAGTGTTTTGTTTACTAACTCATTTTTAATTTGGACACAAAGAAAAAAATAATTTCATTTTGAATTTAGAATCTAAGAGGTATTTGAGTAGTACAATGAAAAACATCACCTCACCTCATTTATCCTCACCTCTTCACACATCACAATCATGAACTTCTGGGATTGAAGGCAGCTATGAAGAGCCTTGTACCAATAACTTTTGTTTTTCTTTCATGCCTAACAATTCATGGCCTTCATGCAGTGCTTTTTTATTTTTTAATTAATTATTTTATAAATTACAGTTTATTCACTTTGTATCCCAGCTATAGCTCCCTCCCTCATCTTCTCCTAATCCTACCCTCCATCATCTCCTCCCATGTCCCTCCCCCAATCCACTGATAGGGGAGGTCCTCCTCCCCTTTCCTCTGACCCTAGCCTATCAAGTCTCATCAGGACTGGCTGCATTGTCTTCCTCTATGGCCTGGTAAGGCTGCTCCCCACTCAGGTGGAAGTGATCAAAGAGCCAGCCCCTGAGATCATGTCAGAGACAGTCCCTGTTCCCATTACTAGGGAACACACTTGAACTGAGCTGACATGGGCTATACCTGAGCAAGGGTTCTAGGTTATCTCCATGCATGGTCCTTGGTTGGAGTATCAGTCTCAGAAAAGACCCCTGGGCCTAGATTTTTTGGTTCTGTTGCTCTCCTTGTGGAGCTCCTCTCCCCTCCAGTTCTTTCTATCTCCCCTTTCTTTCACAAGAGTCCCTGCACTCTGCCCAAAGTTTGGCTATGAGTCTCATCATCTGCTTTGATACCCTGCTGGACAGAGTCTTTCAGAGGCCCTCTGTGGTAGGCTCCTGTCCTGTGCCCTGTTTTCTCCCTCTTCTGATGTCCATCCTGTTTGCTCTTCTGAGTGAGGATTGATCATCTTACCCAGGGTCCTCCTTCTTGCTTAGTTTCTTTAGGTGTACAGATTTTAGTATGTTTATCGTATATTATATGTCTAATATCCACTTATAAGTGAGTATATACCATGTATGTCTTTCTGCTTCTGGGATACCTCATTCAGGATGATCTTTTCTAGTCCCACCATTTGCCTGCAAATTTCATGATTTCCTTGTTTTTAATTGCTGAGTAGTATTCCATTGTGTAAATGTACCACAATTACTGTATCCATTGCTCAGTTGAGGGGCATCTGGGTTGTTTTCAGGTTCTGGCTATTACAAATAAAACTGCTATGAACATGGTTGAGAAAATGTCCTTGTTACATACTTGAGCATATTTTGGATATATGCCTAGGAGTTCTATTGGCACAGGAGAAAACTTCCTGAACAGAACACCAACAGCACAGGCTCTAAGATCAACAATCAATAAATGGGACCTCATGAAGCTGAAAAGCTTCTGTAAAGCAAAGGACACTGTCATCAGAACAAAATGACAGCCTATAGATTGGGAAAGGATCTTCACCAACCCTATGTCTGACATAGGGCTAATATCCAGAATATATAAAGAACTCAAGAAGTTAAACAGCAACAAACCAAGTAATCCAATTAAAAAATGGGGTACAGAGCTAAACAGAGAATTCTCAATAGCGGAATATCGAATGGCAGGAAACACTTAAAGAAATGCTCAATATCCTTAGTCATTAGGAAAATGCAAATCAAAATGACCCTGAGATTTCACCTTATATCCATCAGAATGACTAAGATCAAACACTCAAGTGACAACACATGCTGGAGAGGATGTGGAGAAATGGGAACCCTCTCCATTGCTGGTGGGAATGTAAACTTGTATAACCATTTTGGAAATCAATCAAGGATCCATTTGTACCAAATATAAAAAAAAAAATTATCCAACAAGCTGTTTTAATAGTGGAATCTGTAACTACTGAATCTGTAACATTAAGAGACTATTATTTCCCCTCTTTATGAAAGAATGCCTTTGTAGGTCAAACTCCAGCCTGCTGAGTGGCACACACTGAGCTGTCTACACCTAGTAGAGCTGATGGATAATACATGTAAGACATAATGTGTGGCCACTCTTGTGGCTAAAGGGAAAACACAGTCTATGTGCCCTTCTAACTCCCGAGTCTTAAGACCTGGGTTAATTCTATTGCTTGAAAATTTATCCTTTGAAGCATAGAAAGTGGCAGGGCTTCTGTTCTTTGGCTTTGTCAGCTCCTTGGAATGGGGTAAGTCAGTTGGAGATACTGGGCCCAATGCCCTTAGATAAGGGGCTTCCATCGTGCCTGTGCTGTTCAGTGTCTCGGGTCCATCAGCACTTCCTGGGACTTATACAGCTTTCAGGCCAGTAAGCATTTCTCTACTCTTACAGAACTTGAGAAAAATTTGGGTTCATGTGAGTGTGCTAACTGACATCCATGAGCTATAATTGAAAAGTTCCAGGGCGTCTAATCTTCTCCGTGCTTGGCAGGACTCATTAAGGCTATACAGAAACCCAGGCAGACTTTTGTCAAGGACTTCATTTGCACACCTAGATTAGTCAATTTCTCCTTGCTGAGAGGGACGGGACGGGGCATGTGTTCACACATGGAGAGGTGCCAGCTGAGCACAGAGCTTCATTCGGCGGCTGAACATTTCTCTAACTAGACATCTAGGGTGGAATACGAAAGCACATTAATGATGTCAGAGAGCACCAGTTAACATGGCTTAACCACCCTTAAGGTCACCTTTAGTAAAGATTTGACTGTTGGCACAAAGAAGTTTTTTTTTTTTGAAAAAAAAAAAAAAAAGCAACAAAGGGAAAGATTTTATAAAATCATCCACAAATACCATGAGGTAAAAATTCAGTAATATGAAATTTCCCCTTTCTAGTAATAAAATTCTTAAAATTATGCACACATGAATTCTTATGTATAATTCCAGCAGGAAGTAAAAAAAAAAAGTCTCATCTCCAAAGCAGAAGGAAAATGTTATGTGCAAACAATCATCAAAGATGAATGCACTGGACACAGCAAGACCTTGTCTCAGAGACAAGACAGAAGTGGGAGGTGAGGGAGGAAGAAAAAAAAGAAAAAAAAATGAATGTACTAAATAGGAGGAAAATGGGTGTGCACTAGAAGGCAGCAACTGTATGAAATGACAGATGCTGAAGAGACCCGGAAATGCATTTGTGTGGTGCAGTGAGGCTCAGGAGATGACAGAGGAGCACAAAGGTCAGCTCACCCCTTTAAAGATCAGAGATGTTCCAGATTTGATGGTTTCACTGTTCAGATTCCCTCTCTCTGCACCATATACTTCAGGCCAAAGGTCAGGATGTAAGTTCCCATTGAAATCGTCTTTCAGAATGGAGGGGAGGGGAACAATAGGAACACAGAAGGGGCCACCAAAGCCCCGATCACACCTACCAAGAAAACAAGAGGAGGGGGAAAAAAAAGCATCATTTATTATGACTTCAACAAGGCAGTTTCATTGTGGCACTGCAAACAAGGAAACTGTCCATCTTATCAACTTACACACAGCGTCCAGCATCACAAATCCCTCGTCCTGAGCACATCCAAGGACACCCTGAGGCCAGCACAACATTATCAATAGCCCAGGAATCTGCTCCTACAGTGTAGTTGGCCTGAATCCATCTGAACCGTGTCCTGGGAGAACTAAAAACAAACAAACAGCATATTGTTGGTCTTGTAGGCAGTTTTGAAAGCACGGGTATCTATTTTATTTCCCTGTTCCCCATGAAGCATTCTCGTCCCGTGTCCAGTTTCTTGTCCTCTGAGATATTGTTATTTGCATGCTGAGGAGTCAAAGCTCTGTCCTCCTGACCCATATGGAGGAGAGCAGAATGCATGCTATCCAAACATTTCACTACTCCTCTCACAGGAAAGTCAACATGTGTGACATAGAAACCTTTTCTGGAAATCTTCATTTCTGTTTTTGAAATTCTAGTGTTTGCTTTCATCCTTCTGCTGTTCTCTTGGCACTAGGAAAAATATCAAAGCCTCAACAAAGAAAAAAATGGGGTACTTACATAGGTTTGGCAATGAAGATCCCCATTCTACTGCCCTTAAATGGTCTCTCAGAGTGTATGAAGCCCTGTCATACTTGTGCTTTCTGTGTGGTTTCTCAACATGCTGTCTCTAAAGCCAAGAAACGGATGGAGCCCCTTATTTTCTACAGTGTTTACAGTCTGCTATTTGGAATATACTGAGCACGATGGCTCATCCTGATTGTCATGTTCACTGGCTTTAGACTCACACCTGGAAACACACCTCTGGGTTTATCTATTAGAGAGCGAAGCTCCGCCCTGGTCACGGCAGCGCCATGGGTGGAGAAAGCAGAGCAGAGGCTTGACTTTCTGTTGGCTCTTGGCTGTGGATGCAGTGGAGCAGGTGCCTCCCATTCCTGGTGCTCTAACCTCCCTGCCAGGATGGCCTTTACCTTGGAACTATGACTCAAAATAAATTCTTCCTTCCTTAACTTGTTTTTGTGAGGTGTTTTGTCACAGCAGAGAGAAGGGTAAATAGCTCACTAGATCATAGGAGCACTTTCTCCAGAGGCAGAAGCAGCCTTTACACACAGTAAGAATCAGTACTAAGTATTAGTCTGCATGGAAGAAGACTTAGTTATTTGGAATATTAAACACAGTCTACCAAAGGTTGACTCTCAGTAGTACCATTTCAAATGCCACCGTTTCCCAGTACACATTTCCATCCATCTGAGGCAGTGACTAGCATGGAGGTTGTAAGGTGGAAATCTAATGACGTCATGACTCTCCTTGACACTAGGATGGTTTCTCATCATGTGTACTGTCAAGACAAAGCCACTTATGATGATGCAAGCAACCCTTCCACCATCTTCCCTCTTTGTCAGTGCCAGCCTATGTGTTTCTACAGCTTGCCTCACAATGTTTTAGCATCGCCAGATCCCCAACGCCTAAAACAGAGACCCCTTATAGCTTAGTTATTAGTTTTTAACACTTTACTGAATACCTATTGTATTTCTAGTACTCTGGTACCTAATGAATAAATTGATGCTAGGACCAAGCTTTATTATTTAGGATAACACATGTCTAATCATCTGTTTATCATGCACAACGATAACAGAGAAACTACACTAGATGCTAGACAACCAGCCTAGGGGTGCAGGAGAAGGTCGCTGGAGGAGACGACATCTCTGCTGAGTGAACATGAGTAGGCCATATCCAGGTGAAGAGGAACTTGGGAGATCATCCCTGCTGCTGTAAAGCATGACAGAACTAAGAGGCCAGAAGAAGCAGGAGTTGGGGAGGGAGTCCATGGAAAACTATTTTAGATCACATAGCAACATGCTGCAGGGTCTGATGCTTTCCCTCTATCCTTTGATTGCATGTCTTATCTTATCCTGATACACGAATTGTACCAGGAAAAGATACCTCTGCCTATCAGTGGACTGGGGGAGGGGCATGAGTGGAGAAGGGGGAGGGAGGATGGAATTGGGAGGGGAGGAGGGAGGGAGCTATAGGGGGGGATACAAAGTGACTAAATGGTAACTAATAAAAAAATAAATTAAAAAAAGATACCTCTGTGTGTACTCAATGCAAAAAAGACCTATTGCAGGACACTGGACTCATGGCCAGTAGGAGAGCTGAGAATACAATGAGGAAATTACCACAGGTATAACTGCTGGAACTCTCTAGTTACATTTAAAAACAGCAATCCAGGGCACCTTGTACTCTGCTACTTCCACGGATAGGCCCTATTACCCTGAAGGGCACTCTTCCACAGTGGAATTACCATCATTTTCAAATCAGGTGACAGAAACCCAAGACGCAGTCAAGTGACAAGCCTCACTTGGTGGAGAGAGGGAGGTAGAGCGTGATCCGCCGCCAGTTCTGGAATCTCTCCGCGGTGTAAACTGAGCTCTCCGTGTAGTGCAGACAGCCGATGGTTGGAGGGACACACTCTTCAGTGACAAGATGCCAGTCCTTGCCGTTGTTCAGAGAATACTGGAGCTGTATACCGTGGCTGCTGCTGAAGGGCTTGCTGCAGCCCATGCTCATTTCAAACTGCAGGAAGCTTGATGCTGACACGTGAAAATCCCAGGTCTCAGCATAACGAGGCTTTCCTACCAAAGACAACAGCAACAACAGCATAGAGGCTTAACAGTAGCACAGAAGCGTGTTCTCCTCTTCTACAAGGCTTATGATTGCTATCAACATTTCCTAAAGCAAACCCAAATAATGCCCTGTCTTCAGTGCCTCAGATCTGCGCTGGCTTTTCTTCTCACATTTACTGTTTTCATACAGTTACTATGGAATCAGAAACATAGCAGGCTATGAGTTTGAAGATATTAAATATCTTAAGAGCCATAAACTCTCAATTTTGTAAATTGCAAAATATAGGGATGTCCTCTGGCAGATGGTTTTCTGCCTTTAAGTCATCTTCCTCCTCATGATGTTCCATGAAAGTTCCAAAAGGCTCAGGTGACCCGGTCATTTTGGAGGACAACACAGCCCCTGCCATCCATCTGCAGCCCCTCAGCAAAGGAAGTTAAGCACATAATTTTATAAAAGAAAATTCCTTTTGAGGTTTAGTTAATTTAGTCCTGTAGCTAATCAAATATCTTTCTGTTATATGGTGGCAATATATACCTATGTTTTCAGTGAATATGAGGGCAGTGTCCATAGAGAGGCAGTCAATATCAACTTGGCCTCCTTGGATCCGATACCAATTGGCTTGCAAGTCTATCGAGCCATCAAATTTGTCTTGAAATCCAGTTTGAGAGCTGTCATTCACTCCTATAAGAACATCATCCAAAGCCCACTGGGCTGAGTGCTTCCCTGCAATCAGATGAACAGCAGCAGTTGGAGAAGGTTCATTATACAACAATGTGAATATCTCTGTGACCGCGATTGTAAATCAAATTGTCTGGAAACTGACAGTAAATTAACACACATACATTACAAGTTGGATATGGGTGCTGAATGATGTTTTTAAAGCTACCAGGAAAGTTGGGGAGAGCAGTAACTCACCGTGTTGTGGCTGCCACCACCGGAAAGCCGTGGCAGGCGTCTTTGCTTCCCTTGGCAGGTCAATGGAAATGATCTGTGGCTCCAGAAATGACATGAAATCCAACTCTCGCAGCAAATGCCAAAGGATCCCATTGTCATTTGAATACTGAACAACAAGCCCTGAGTTCCAAGACATAAATTCAATGACTAGGATGGCCTTCTTAAAGGCAAGGAATCACATTTTTTAAACAGCAGAACTGCAGCAACTTCGCATTGTGCCTCCGAGAAGGAACACTCATCCATCTACCTTACAGGGCATGAATTAGTAGACTCGAAGGCCCATCAATTTCCCGACAGTGTCTAATGCACTGACTCCCAGTAAATGGAGACAAGAAGCATATAAGCTCTTAAACACCACTCAGCTTTGTATGAATGATGAGCAAGCTGGTTAGGGAAACATAAAAACCTGCTTCAGATCATGTACTTGAAATTCAGATTCTATCCCGAGCATCCCAAAGTCTCAGGCCATCATTATCTACTCTGAAGTAATATCTTAATTTTCCAGCCCAAGCTGAGCGGCCCCACTTGCTGCTGAAGCGGGAGGCAGTAGGCTGGAAGGCTGCCGGGTGGACACCCTTTAAGTGGTGGCATGTCCTAGTGTGACAAACCTTGTTTAGGGAAAGCCGAATGAGGCCAGTTCATTCCAGGGTAGAACAGCGAGGCCCACGCCTCTCCACTGTCAATTCCTCTTCCTGTTCTCTGCGCCACCCCTCCTGGTCCGTATCTCATGTGCCCACCCTCCACCTGCCACAAGGGGTAAGATCTGAGGAGCTTCACATGAAAGGGACCTCATTGCTACCCCTGCTACTTCTTTCAGAAACGTTGTCATTTAAAAGGGAACAAAGGAGAAGGCTAATGATCAGCAAAGGAGAAACCGGCTATGGATAAGATCGTGAGACTTTCTATATATAAATCCAACATCATGTGTGGATATAAATTAACACCAGTCATAGGAATTTATCTATCTGTGGGAGAAAGCAGGGGGTGCCTATACAATGGCTTACTCCACAATAATTCATTAAATTGGTACTGAATACTCATAAAAAATAGTTGGAGACACTGGTTTACTTCATAAGTATTTATGACCAGTAAAGTCCTGTTGTATTTTTTTAAATTATATTTTAACTCTTGAAAAATTATGAATCATTTATGGTATATACAACTTGAAAATATCCCTGCTGATTAACTAGAACTCCTCAGTCCGCTGTATTATTAAATAACGAAGAGTTAATTAGCACAGAGTTTTGAGGAGTATGGTAAAGACAAAGCTACTCAGTGCAAACTGACAGCATATGACATTTCGGGCACTCTATCTGACAGGTGACAATGTCAGGGGCAACACTGACAAACATGAGAAAAGCCAGATATCTGCAGAGGTTCAGTCTGTTTACAACAAAGGAATCTGTCAAGTTAGGAGAGAGAGAGAGAGAGAGACAGAGACAGAGACAGAGACAGAGACAGAGAGAGAGCGTCTTGTTGGGTATAATGTGCCGCATTCAGGTGCAGCGATGAGGAGCTGGGAGGCTGTTAACTGAGGGGAGAGCGGCAGGTCAGGAAGGCTGAGGGTCATGTAAAGCCTCATAAAGAAAATGGAATCTGGCCTTTCCAGTCTTCATCTGAGTCAACAAAGGGGCTTTCCAGCAAAAGCACTCCTCAGTAGCTCTCAATATTTATACCAAATATGTCCTATTACTTTTTTTTTAGGGTGATGTTGGATGTCCGAGAGTTTCCTTTTTTGCAGCTATTGATTTGAGTTAGTCTAGTTTTATTCAATTAAATAAGTAATGAAAAAGAGATGGGAGAGGAAGAACAGAAAAGGTGGGGTAAAAAGAACAGAAAAGGTGGGGTAGGGTTGCTGAGTAGAAACGGGCAGTTCAGAAGATGGAATAAAGTATTAGAAATGAAACACCACAGGAATACAAATGTCCCTGATTGGTTCTAGTTTCTTCTACTCAAACTATAGCCCCAAACCTGTAACCTGTGTCATCTGAAAATGGGCTCTCCATCAGTAACAGTTTTAAAAGTATGTTCACAAGTTCAGTTCCCAGCAAACGCTGTAGTGGCTCAGAACCGCCCATAATGAGATCTGATGCCCTCTTCTTCCATGCAGGTGAATATGCAATACAGCATGCATAGACATAAGGAAATAAATCTTTTCAACAAGCTAGAACCTGAATCTCTTCCCTTGGAGTGCAGACGGGCTTAGCAATTTGCTTCTAATGATCAGAAGGTGGTAGGAGCCAAGGTGGCTTTTGAAATTAGGGCACGTAAGGCATTACAGTTGAGCCTAGAGTGAAGGACCACAGTACGGTGCCTACTAAACAATGTGAGCCCCCTTTAGCACTATAAAAAAGATGGAAGGGTTTTGGGGGTTCCTCCATGCTTGGCTCTGTCACTCTGCTGAAGCCGACTTACATGCAGGAAGATGCTCTAACAGCCTGTGGACAGGTCTGCGTGGAGGGAATTCAAGCCTCTGCCTTATTCTTGAAAGAGCTAGCCCTGGCAGAGTGTCCTGACCTCTCTTACTGTCTGTCTGTCCACTGCCTTGAATACAGCCTCGTGAGAGATCCTGACCCAGAGACCTTCAGCTGAACAGAGCCTTGTTCCTGCCTTGCAGGAAGCATTGAACAGCACAGGTTTGTTGCTCTCAGCCACGTGGTCTTTATGATAACTTGCTATACAGACCATTAGATTCCCCCTAAATCAGAGCAAATTTTGAAGTGTCCATCAAAATATGAGAGGCGTGGCTCGGGAGGTGTGCCCTTTGTTTGGTGCCTGCTTCTGCACTTTTCTCTCATGAGCTTTTTCAGGAGAGTCGTGTCTACCTATCTGCAGCAAAGAGGTCTGCAGGGATGAGCCCTTGATTTCAAACTATGATGAGGGAGGAGGGCATCCCAGACAAGAGCGAGAATGGAGGAATGTCATGAGGAAAAGCGAAATCCACAGTTTATGCCAGTTGCTAAGCCTCATTAACTGTGTCATCTAACACATTGTACATTTGAATAAGCCAAGTCGTTTCAGCTCATCCACTGAATGTTTAAAGCATGTTAAACATTTCTCTTTTTAAACTACAACTCCATCTGCATTCTGCCTAGTCTTACTGAAGACAGCCTAATTTTGACTCTAATTCCAAATATGTAAATTGATGCTTCAGCTTGAGTAAGTAAAGAATCTTCACTTTCATCATTGTGAGAGATTTGTTCAAGGATTTAGTCAGATTTACATGTTAACAACCAGTCTTCCATAAAAGGTTGAGAAATGCCTATGGGATGTGAATTATATGGATAACAAGTCTAAGGAAATGGCTCAGGACTAGCCGAGAACAAATTGCTTGTTCCTTAAGGGATCCTAAGGGAAACTAGCCCTACAGCACAAATAGCATTTGTGAGAAGTATAGAGTGGGCTTCATGTCAATGGTAAGTGTATGCTTTCCACAGAGTCCGTTTAAATCTTATACATAAATAAGGGTACAAATAATGGGATTTTCCACAAGACTCAGGCATACAAACTTCTGCTGGATTAAATTTTACCAACTGTCATTTGCTTGGTGAGCTGGTAGCCGGAGTGTTCCATCAAATTCAGCACCTCCCCACTGCTTACTTTCCATCTCAACGACTTGTTTGCTTCCATCTTTCCCTTGCAATCTAAACTTCTTTTCTTCTTTCTCTTCCTTCCTTCCTTCCTTCCTTCCTTCCTTCCTTCCTTCCTTCCTT